GGGGGAAAGTTAAGAACTTCGAAGTTGTATGTGAGTCAAGCTCAGTTAGGAGGAGTTAAGTCAGAGCAGGATTGTACACATAGGGAAAAGGCTGGCTGAGGGAACTGAGCCGCCAAGGGGCAGGACGTGGCAGGTACCTTTGGGAAACTGTGCCCAGCCCGTGACTTCCTCTACTCTGAGAACTGCACTCTTCTCACTGACCACAGGGCTGGTCCCTGGAAGAAGTGTTTAGATTCCATGACCTCTGTGGCTCCTGCTCCCACACCCAGCCCTAGCTAATTGAATTCCTGGACTCTGTAAGATCCTCGAATCCAGCTGTTCTCAAACCTGGCTGTTGTACCTTAGAATAATGTAGGGAGCTTTCAAAAATCCTGATGCTCAGCTGTAGCCTAACCGATTAAGTCAGAATCTCCAGCAGTGAGCATCAGGTAATTCTACTATGCACTGCTCCAAGCTCTTTGGAAACCTTCCATTAATCCCCTTTCCGCTTAAGGTAGGTTTCTGCTCATTGCAACCAAGAGATTTGACTGAAATAGCATCTTTTCAATATTGATTTTTTTTCCTATCAATGATAAAATTGTCTCTTCAATTATTGAAATCTTCTTTTATATATGTTTACCAAAATTTTGCAATTTTTTAAAGCATAGATCTTGCACCTTACTCTTTTTTCTATTCATTGATTTTATTTTGTTAATTGTATATATTTTATTAATTGTATATATTAATTGATTTTATTTTTTTATAATTGATTTTATTAATTGTATATATTTAAGGTGTATATGATGATGTTTTGAACATAGTACTTGCACATAGTGAAGTGGTTACTACAGTCAAGCAAACGAATACATCCGTCATCTCACATAGTTATCTTTTTGGGTATGTGGCAAGACACCTAAAATCTGCTCCGCAGCAAAAATCCCAAATATAGTACAACATGAGGGTACTTCAAAAACTTCATGGAGAGATAGAATTAAAAGATAATACAAATCTTTCCGTGAGCTTTTTGAAGCACCCTTGTGTTGTTAACTATAGGGTTCATGTTGTACATTAGATCTCTAGACTCCTTCATCCTGCGTATTTGCTACTTTGTGTCCTCTGACCTATATCTCCCATTTTCTCCCCTGCTCCTGCCCCGGTAGCTACCATTTAATTCTGTTTCTATATATTTGACTTTTTGAAAAATTCTACATATAAATGAGATCGTGCAGCATTTTTCTTTCTATGTCTGGCTTCTTTCACTTAGTACAGTGTCCTCCAGGTTCATCCATGTCCTGGGCACCTTAGTTCTTTAGTTCTAAGCACTTTATATTTTTTATTGTCATTCTGAGTGGTATATTTTTCTCCATCATGTTTTCCAATTGGTTATTGCGGATATAAAGGAAAGCTGTAAGATTTTACCTATTTATTATGTTCAATTATATGTATTGCCATGCGATTTATAATATAAACATAATTAATGTGTCATATAGAGGAATAGTTCAGTAAATACAATATATCCCCACTATGGAATATCATGTGACTCTTTACATTTATAAATATGAAGACTGTTGTGACCAAGGTTCTTTTTTTTTTTTTTTCCTTTTTGTCTTTTTTCGTGACCAGCAACAGATCGCAACCCTCGGTGTTGCTCCCGCAGCTTGCTCAGCCAGTGAGCGGCCGGTCTGTATGTGGGATCCGAACCCTCGGGCAGGAGCGCCGCCGCGCTTCCCAAGAGGCGCACTGTAGCAGTGTGCCACCGGGCCGGCCATTTTTTTTTTTTTTATAAAATAAAAATGAAAGTAGAACTTAAAATTGTATATGAGGATACTTCAAAAGTTCATGGAAAAACGGAATTAAAAGACAATAATAATCTTTCCATGAACTTTTTGAAGACCCCTCGCATATACCAGGCTTTGTTAAACTATGTGTAAATATGGATAAAATATTAGGAGAATTATTAGGAGAATATTAGGAGAAAAAGGATGGTGATGTTTGTATATCTTTCTTCAGTGAATATTTTTTACCCTGCACATGTATTATTTTCTCATTAAAGGAAAAAAAAAAACCACCTAAAATGGGCCACCCCAGTGGCTCTGCAGAACTTGTTTTCACAAACTCAGAAGCTCTGTCTCCACCTTAGGATAACTAGCCACTGTTTCTTTGGGGTTTTTTTATTTTTATTTTTTAAGGTTTATAATATACTTTTAACTATAACCACATTGCAGAAAACTGAGAAAATGGAGAGAAAAATTACCCATGCCCCATCCTCTTGACACAAGTGGAATAGTGGTGTATTCATTTCCAGTATTTTATGTGCATAGTTCACATAGCATGTCTCAGGGTACGTAGTTTTGTAACCTGATTTCTTTAATTAACGTTCTATCATAAAAATGCTCTGTGGGGCCGGCCCCGTGGCGCACTCAGCAGAGTGCGGCGCTGGGAGCGCAGCGACGCTCCCGCCACGGGTTCGGATCCTATATAGGACTGACCGGTGTGCTCGCTGGCTGAGCGCGGTGTGGGCGACACCACACCAATGGTTGTGATCCCCTTACCGGTCACACACACAAAAAAATGTTCTGTGTTGCTACAAAGCTTTCCCAGCCATTCCTTCCCAGTCAGCAATAAAATGCCATCAAGTTGGAGAAACATCATCAACTTATTCCTGTATTATTCAGGTCGATTTCAGTTTCTTTGCTGTGATAAGAAATATTGCAAAGACCGTTTATTCGTTCATAAGCTTTTCCATATTTGGGATTATTTCTTTAGGACAGATTCCCAGAAGTCAGATGAATGGGTCAAAGGGCACATACTACTTTCAAAAGCATCTCTGTCTAGGTTGGTCCAGCCACCTGCCGTTCACTGGAAGGACAAATGGTTCTCATTAAAGCCCCAAAGTTTCCCCATGGGTTCCAACTGCAGGTACGGGGAAGTCCCTGGGGCCTGTACAACCAGAGCAAACTTGCTAAGCTAAATTGCCGGTGCAGGGAGTCTTCGTTAGAGTGTTTTTCTAGAGGAAATCAACAGTCTTTTGCATGTTTTAGGAAAATCTATGATTGCTGTGAGCATTGAAAATCGCCTGTTTTGCTTAACAAGAAGCAGGCCTGAGGCCCTCCCTGGACCGGGCTTAGGAACCTCGGTCCTTCCACCTCACAGCTATGCAGCAGCTCAGAGTATATGAAGTGCTTCCATTCTCTTTGTCTCAAATTGTCCCCATTCTCCCAATGAGAAAACTGAGGCTGAAATGGGTGAAAGGACTTGCCTGCAATCACACAATTATTAAGTAGCAAAACCAGTACTGGGTCTCATCCCTCCAACTCCAGGGCCACTTCAGAATCAATCCAATAAACACTAAGCAAAAACCTGTGCCAGGTTCTCCGCTGGGCGCTGGAAAC